AGGCCCTCAAGGTATAAGAACCCCAAAGCTTTTCAGGTTGACGGCGGGGACAGAAATGGTCCAGCTCAGTAAGGCCGGGCTGTTGCTGGATATAACCATCCAGGCTGCTATCATCCGACATCAGTTCAAGGGAAGATGAAGCAGTTTATGTGACCTCACCTAATACAGAGGGCCCTGTTTTCTTTTTACAGTTAAGGAAACGGCTAGGAGAGGTCACATAACTTGTCTGGAACTTGACAGATAGAGTTAGGATTTGAACCCAAGTCTGTCTGACTCCCAGGATCTGTGCTTTTTCTACAAGCTCATGGCCCAGCCAATACACCAGGCCCTGGGGAAGATTGCAGAGGATGAAACAAGCTTTGTCCCCTACAGAACACACAGTCTAGTTAGAGTGAAGACATTTGGAAATTAACTGCCCTGACCAGGAAGTAATAATTGATGATGATGATGATGAAGATGAAGCATTCATGTGTCAAAGTGCTGGACTCTTTTAAGTGCTTAATTTATTTATATTTGCTCCTTTAATCCACCTAACAAATCATTTTAGGTAGGTACTATTGCAATTCCAATTTTACAGTAAACAGACACAAAGAAGTGACTCACCAAATGTCGTGCAGATGGTAGGTGGATTTAAATTCAGGCAGCCTGGGTTCAGAGTCTGTGCTGTGTACTGTCCCCTGAATGCCACGGGAGGGTGAGCCCATAGGTGTTGCGAGAGCAGTCCACTGAAGGCCAGGAGTCAGGGAAGCGTGTTCACAGGAAGGTGGTGGTGATGCTGCAAGAGGACAGTTCCCTGGGCCAGTTCAGGACCACAAAATCTCACCCACTGCACCAGCATCAAGAGCTAAAGGCAGATGCTGGCACATGACTGGACCGTCAGGACTGCATCATGAGGCAGCATCCTTAAAATAAGCCTAAGGGTCAGGTCTGACCATTAGGCATCTAGTTTGCTCACTTCTGGCTTAATCACACTTACCACCAAGACATTCCCTCAGTGTGGTACCACCTGCCCCGCTTCTCATAGTTTCCTGGTAGGAGTAGTCTCCCTGCCACACCTCCTCACCTCCTGCTCCAGCTCTGTATTTTCCTGGGTCTCAGCTTCAGCATGAGCATTGAAGAGGGGGAATGAAGAGAAGAGCTACCACCTGTCCCTTGCCGACACTGCTTATGTCCATGGTACACATACCTGGTACCCTCAAGGCCATCACCCACACATGTGCACACCAGAGGCCCTCTGACAGCCCATGGTAGTCACCCAAGGCCTAAACTCCCTGACGTTAACATGCCATTGTAGGGGGCCTGCCAGGAACATCAAAACTTTGAGTCTTTAAGTTAAACAGAGAAGTAGAGCTTACACAGACATGGACCCACGTTATATATAGTGAAACCACACATTTTTGGCAGTCAATACAAGAAATATAAAGAAAGGTGAACACACACATACCAACCTGGGCATGCCCTGTTTAACCTTCTGCCTACCCAGAGCTGAGGAAGAGTTAAGGCTCTGATCTTTAAACTGAATTCCATGTGTCCATCAAGACTGGGGCATCTCCAGAAAGGTAGACACTAGCATAGGACTTGGCTAGAGAGACCAGAAGCCAAGAGACAGGGGAGCAGTAGGCCCAGTTGCCCAGCCCTATCTCTCCACTGAAGCCAGCCTACCTTACCCTGAGTGCCTTCATTTGACAGAAATTACTGTGGTTGCAGCAGCTGTAATAAAAAGGGAAACAGATACCCACCGGGGACAGCTTTATCTCCATCTATAACCTGAGATGGATTCAGTGGCAGCATATTGCCCAAGGCTAGAGATTTCTTTCTCTGCAGCTGACCCGGCCCAGGGACTTGTCAAGCCCAAGTTAGTATATCGATTGCAGGATGGGAGGGGCCATTTAAGTGTGATGTCAGTGCTCACCTACCAGGAGAGCCTGGCTGTTCGCAGGCAGCACTGGCCCCGGGTGTGGCTGCTAGTCGCTAGGTTCTCCCTCTAATGAACCCTTCAGGGACCCGCCTCTGGTCTGTGGCCTCAGAGAGTGAGATATGAATCGGGTTTGCCATGTGGAAGGGGGTCTAAGTGAGGGCACCTTATAGGACGAGAGGGAGTCTACTTGTCCAGTTGCCTTTGCTACCCATCTCTGAGGTTCCTGCATTCATGTGCAGCAATCCAGTGCCAAGAGGAATGATGAGGGTGACCATCAAGCTTCTTGTCACAATCCCATGGGCCAACCACTAGCTACTCAAACCTGGAAGGAGGCTGTGTGCTCAGGCAAGGCAGCCATCCTCAGTTTTAGGAAAAGGACTTGGCTACGAACACAGTGGAAGGCAAGAGGTCAAACCTGGGAACAGTACCAGCTTCATTGCTTTCAGCAGGACATGAGGGGGTGTCTCATGAACCCTCAAATACAAGGAGGACAGTGGTTTAGTGGTGGGAGCCAGCAGCAAAACACACACCAACACAGACACACATACTCACGGTACTCTACCTGCTATCTAGTGAGCCCAAACACAAGGCAAACAGCCCCTCTCGCCTTCCTACTGCTTCCCAGAATTCCTCTGGGACCTGCTGCGTCTTGGCCTTAGCATGTTCAGTACAGTTTGACAAATTAAGAAAGATAAGAGATGGTTTTCCCAAGTATCTCTTTTTAAAACAGAGTTGACGTACAATATTATATTAGTTTCAGGTGTACAACATAGTAATTCAACATTTATATAGCTTACAAAGTGATCACCACTAAAAGTCTGGTAACCATCTGTCACCGTACAAAGTTATTACAATATTATTGACTATTTTTTATGCTGTACATTACATCCCTGTGACTTATTTACTTTATAACTTCAAATTTGTATCTCTTTATTTCTCATTGGGCCCATCCCTGTTTTAGTCTGGCCGCCGCAAAGCCTGGCAGCCTCTTCCTCCCTCCATAGCCCTCCTACTGTGGGGCGCCCCGTGGTCCAGCAGAGCTTCCCCAGTGCTCCGGTGCTCGGGGCATTTGCAAGGTGGCAGAAGGCTCTTCAGAAAGGCCGTCACTCACCTCGATGAATTTAGTTGCCTTACTAGCTGGTAAGCGCTTGAGGCACCTGTTTTTATCAGAGCACATTTTGCCCACCTGCCTGTCTCACAAATGCTGGTTCAATAGTAAATTACTTGCCAGAATTAGAGACAGGGGAAACATGTTTTGACATATACAAGTACCAGATGCCAGTTCTCCATGCTTCTACCCTTCAGCAGCATGGTGCGGGTGCTGGGTAGACCCAGCCCTGCAAATCCCAACACGTCCACACTGGCTCTGCCAGTGAGGTGCAAGATCCCATGATTTCAATGGTGGAGGGAGCTGGCATTAACCAGGTTGGCAGGGGGAAGCGGAGGGTGCGGTTAGAAGTGTGACTGAAGAAAGGTAGGAGTGCTCCTGGAACCGGGCTGTGAAACAGGGAAGGAGGTGCTCACAGCTCTGCCTCTTACTAGCTACGCTTTCCTTCTCTGTGCCTCAGTTTCCCCACCTACAATATCATGTTGGTTTGGGGTCTATACATATATTATCTTTTTTCCTAGTTTTAATAAACTCTGCACACCCTGTTCTATATCACAGCCCCACTTCAGGCATTGTTGAACTTGTATTTACACCTGAAGGTGCAACTGGACCTCAGGTAGGAAGAAGGGGTCCACGAATGGGAAGAAGCCAGAGTCCTTACTCGCTGGCCCTGGCCTTGCCCCTTCTTTCCCTCCCACCGCCTTCTCTGCACACCCATGCCATCTCTGCCTACTTCAAGGTAGTCACATCCCGGGCCCTCTCTCCCTGCTGAGTCATAATTCCACCAGGTCGGGGGGCTGCTGTTTGCCCCACCGTGCCCCTCCATCCCTCTGCCCTAGGCTGCTCCCTCTGGCTCTGGTCCAGGCTTCAGAGAATTCGCAGGTATTTAGACATTCATTTTATTGCTTAATCGACCTTGAAGCCATTTAAATTAATACAAGTTTTTACATTTGGCAGCGAGGCTTTTACAGTCCCCTTTAGCAGGGGAGGAAAGAGGTTGGGAGAAAATCAGGAGGAATTTTTCCTGGGCCATTGCCTCCTTGAGGCGGGAGCAGATCAGCCACGACAAGGACCCAGGAAGTGAGGCCGCCTCACAGGAGCAGAGTCAGTGCTGGGCCTGGGGTCCTGGGTCTTCCAGTGGGAGGGGCCTAAGAGCCCTTGAGCCCGGCGGGGATCCCTGAGGGGTCTGGAGTTCAGCCTCAGCACACACCTCAAGGTCTGGACTTATGACAGGTGCTCTTCCCCGAGATTAACCTCCTGCTGGGGTCGCCCCCTAACGTCTTCTGGGGTTAATGCACTTTGTGCCCACTTACCTCATCCTTCCTCTCCTCACCTGACTCTCATACAGCCACTTTTTCACCCTTGTTAAGCGTTAATTCATTCGCTCTTCCAGGAAGAACACAGACTTCCCTCTCCCCAGGGATGGCCTTCCTCCCCAGAGTCTATCTCTCCTCCTCTCAGAGCTGGGGGAGGGTGATGAAGAAGAGTGGGATGTACCCAGAGCTGTCTGCTTCTGATCTCACCCCTGACCCCCAGCTACACACACACACACACACACACACCACCCCTCCACCCCCCCACCCCCGCCAACAGGGGACTCTTGCGCAAGCTAAGGAGTCAAGTTTACCCTACTAGTTCCCTGTCAAAAGGAAGGGGAGTTTTGAAGTTACTTTGTCAGTGACTTATCACTTAAGGATGATTCTGGGCTGTGAGAGGCCAGAAAGCATAGACCCAAGTTACAGAACAGAAACAAAAAGTTCTAAGAGGGTCGGCATTGCAGGGGCTCTCGCAAGCACCTGCTTTTCTGCTTAGCACAATCCCTTCCCTCTGCTAGTTCCAGCTGCCCTTGCCATTTGGAATGAACCTGGTGGCAGCTGCCCAGGCCTGTGAGCCCCGGGCCCCAGTGCTGTTCTCCTCCCCTGCCCAGCCAGGGCCGCCCCCTGCAGGCTGACGCCCCCATTCTCTGTTCCCCAGGTGGAGGTGGAAGTAGAGAGCATGGACAAGGCCGGCAACTTCATCGGCTGGCTGCACATCGATGGTGCCAACCTGTCCGTCTTGCTGGTGGAGCACGCCCTCTCCAAGGTCCACTTCACTGCGGAGCGCAGCTCCTACTACAAATCCCTGCTGTCTGCTGAGGAGGCCGCCAAACAGAAGAAGGAGAAGGTATGGCATGGGATTGGGCAGCAGCAGGGGGTCGCCACTCCCCCAGCTCATACTTGCTCATGACTTTTCTCTCATTCCCACTCCCCCGCTAACACCACTGCCTTCAAACAACAGATAAAAGTGGTTCTGTCACCCCCCAACTGAGTCACTCTGGTTGGCCTCAGACCCCATATCCGGAACCACGTAAGCCTAAGTGCAAGGCTGCCAGCTTAGGCATCCTCAGCCATATAAGCCTGCTGCAGACCTGAGGGGGGCCCCAGGCCTGCTCGTGTGAACCTGCAGCAGAAAGCTGTCTGGGAGGTGACCTTGGATCAATGAGAGGAATGACTGGGGGTGTCCCTGTGGGCAAGAGATGGGCAGCGCTCCTGACCCTTCCTGCAGCCCACAGCTGAGTTTCCCTCACATTGCCCTGCAGGGAAGCCCGTTTTGGAAGCAGCCCCGGGAGACGTATAAAGCTGTTAGGACAGCAGATTTACAGCCCATCAGTCTCTGCAGACACTGCATTGAGGAGACAAGGGGGGTGGGTCTGAACGCAGCTTTTGGAAACAAATGGACAATTAAGGAACCTTAGTGGGTTTAGTGGTGGGAGCTGAGCTCAGCATCCCCCGCCCCCAGCCTGTTGCCACTGACTTACAGCCCAACCCTGATAATAGGGATAAATCAGCCAGCCACCAATTTGTCAGAGCTTCCCTGAGCTTCAGGAGGATTTCGTGGGACAGCCATGCTGAGCCATAAATTTGTTCCAGGAATAAACATTTCCTTCCCCATGGGGCAGCCATCTGGCTTGCAGCTCGACTCCCAGAGCCAAGGCCCAGACACCTGCCGGAAGGGGTGGGGGCTTAGGGGCCCTAAAGGCTCCTCATTCTCCTCTAGCCTGGAGCAGCCATCTCCTCGCTCAGTCTCTTCCTTCCCACCTTTCTTCCAAGAGAATACACCACTTCACCCAGAGACTGGGCCCAGGGCCGCCCTCCCGGGTCTCTGTTTTCTCCCTGTGCCCTGGGGATTCGGGTGGATGACCAACCCCCAGTGGAGGTGGAAGGACTCCAGGGAGAGGTAGCTCAAAAAGCTTGGACAGATGAAAGGGACTGTCCATGCATTGGGGGAGTGGACCACCATGACACTCTGAGGAGGTTTCTATCCTTCCCTGTCCCAGTTCTGCTCACATTAAACTCAGTCTTCCTAGAGTGATGGGGAAATAGGCAGCCTCAGCTCCTACAGCAAAGGTGCTTGCTCTTGGATTTCCTGTTTGTGACAGCTGAACTTAAGACTGCCACCCCCATGTCCTCTGCCTGCAGCAGGGAGGTGGAGGCGATGTGGTGCTGGGCACCATGTACAAAGGGCTGAACCTTCACTGAAGAATTAGCTGGGGTAGTGTGGCAGGCACCAGCCTCAGAGGCCCCGATTCTGAGAGCATCTTTGCACCCTGGTCCTGCTCCCCAGCTATTCAGCACATGAGCCTAGTAGCTTCCTCTTCAGATCTGAGCGATCCTCTGAGAGTAGAGACCCCAAAGGGATCCAGAAGAGGACAGAGAAGGGAATCTGGCCTGAGATGGAGAGGCAGGTTCCTTGCCAGGTGCTAAACTGGGCATTGCTATTTACTACACAGTGGATCTGTCTGAAAGAGCCCAAATCATCTTTTCACTGGTGCCACATGATGATGCTGAGGAGTAATTACCAGTGATTAATTACTTACACAGGCTGCGTGTTTTTATTCCAGTCTAATTAAAATGCAGTGCACCGCTCTCGGTACGGAGCCTGCCTTCCTCCTGGGTCCTTCTCCTGCACGTCCCTTTCTTTTCAAGGCTCCTTGGGGAACCTAACGTGGCTTGCCTCTTCCTGGTGGGGCTGGTTCCCAGGAGCAGCATAGGCAGAGCTTTGCAGCAGCCCTCAGATTTGGCTGGGCTCAGATGAGAGAATTCGGTGACCAGCTGGAGGACAGGAAACTGCATCTCTGAGATATCCCCAGGTTCCCCAGTCTTGGCCACCTTGTGACCCCTTGAAGGCTGCCTTAGCTGTTGAGACAGGTGCATCTGTGGTTCAGAGATCATGTACCTGTGAACTAACTGAGGAAAAGTAATACTGAAAGACTGTGTGAGACCCGGAGCATGCAGGAGCCTTTGGCGAGTTTGGTTATATGCATGTGCATTTGTGAGTAGGCCTGACCGTGCGGCTTCCCCAGCCACGGGAAACTGAGCTGCCTCCCTGCTAGGCCTTACTCCTCCCTGTGCACGTTGGACTTCTCTCCTCATAAAGAGGCTGGCCAGCCTTCTTCTCTTCCTCCTCCTCCTCCTCCTCCTCCTCCTCCTCCTCCTCCAGGGATTATGGGCAGATATGAGGACCAAGGAGGGAGCCACTGATGGCAGCTACACAGACTGTTTCCCTCCCCGCCACCACCACTCATGTCCTAGCAGGACCCTGGACAGGGTTGGTTTGGTCATTGATTGGCTTTTATTGAGCTTGGCGTCCCCACCTCAGGGCTTGAAGGGCTCCACCACGCTGGCCCCATGCCAGCTACACCCCCGGAGCCTCCTAAGCAGTGGTATTAAATAGGATTTAGAAAGAGAAGGCTGCAGCCAGGGGAGCCTCAGTCTCCAGTGCCCATCTCCTGCCTAGAAGAGGGCCGGGCTCCCTAGGGAGGCGTGCGGGGAAGAGGGAGGGCCAGGGGCAGTGTGAGGACAGGAGGAGAGATAGCCTCTGCTCCTGAGCTGCCGTGCCTGTGTCTGGCCACAGGGGCCCCTTCCCCAGAGCTGGCACAGGGGACAATTAAGAGCCCCAGAATGTAGAGGGGACCTAAGAAGGATAGGAACTGGCACAATAGAGCAGATATGGAAGGAGGAAGGTGCTTCTCTCATCCTTTTCCCACCTGGGTCTGTAGCTAAGGCCATGGAAGAGTCACAGAGGGGCCCCGTCTCAGGACAGCTCCACCCTGGCCCTGGTCTTAAAGCAGGAGAGCTGCCACCAACCTGACCAGAAAAGCTGGGGGCCTCTCCACAGTACTGCAGCCCCTGGTGCTCTGGAGGTGGCTCTCCTAGTGTCCTGGGCTCTGCTACCCAGGCCTGATCCAGGATTGTCTCCACCAAAGGCCAAGAGCATTCACAGCTCCCAGACTCCCGTCCTGCCCAGCATCCTGGCCAGGGGGTTCCTCCTCTTCCCACCTCTTCCTTCCTCCAAGAACCTGGGGGCAGAGCCATGAAGCGCTGACTCCGTGTGCACACTTACTGTTCCTGCTGGAAAGGGTCTTTGGGTTTTTCTTGTCAGGGCTTGAGGTGGCTGTGGGGAAATGGCACATGTCTAGCAGGTGTCTTGCCAATGTGTCTGTCCCCTCCCTGCCCCAGTTCTGCAGAAGGGTAACAAGTCAATATGGGCGAAATGAGCCCATGGTTAAGGTTGGGAACATGGGCAGCCAAGCCTGTCCCAGCCAACTGACTCCTTCCCACCTGGAAGCTGCATGGCGAGGCAGCCTTTCCCAGCTTGTCAAGGGCCACAGGCGGTCAAGCCCCAGGGAATAGCTGGTTACCTCCATACCCCATAGGAAAGACAGAACCTTCAAGGCTCCACTATTCAAAGGACCAAGCTCTCTCTTAGAAATGGGGTTCCTTTATCTGAGGAACAGCTCTCCCTCTCCTGTCCTTTGGTAACAGCAAGCTTCTGTGTCTTCTCACCTCACTACTCCCCACCACTCCCTTCCTGCTGCCCAGTAAGCTGTGGGACCTGTCATAGGACTAGCCCCTTTGCTGCCCTCCACGAGGGCATCCTTTACATCATCCAATCAGCAGCTCATCCCTGACCTCGAGCCTGCTGCCGCCTGCCAGCTCCACCCCCTCTCCCGAGGAGGAAACCTGAGGCTGTCGCCTGGGGCTCTTTTACTTGAGTCATTAGCATTAGCAGTTTCTGCTATCACCCTGTCAGTCTGTTCCCAATTCATCAACTCCACTGAGGAGCTTCCTTCCCCCACAGTGAAGGGAAGCAGTGTGGGGTTAGATTGAGGGCCCCGAACGACTCCCAGGCTCGAGGCCCACTGAGGAGCCAGTCTTGTCTCGGAGGCAGCGAGAGTCCCATGATCCTCAGAGCTGCAAGGATCTCAGAGGGGCTGAGAGCTCAAAGGTGGATGGGCGTGACTGGCTAAGTAGTCACTTCCCTGAGGAACTTCCAGTGAGGGGTCCCAGGAAGAAAGCCTCAGCCTCATCAGGACGTAGGCCTTGGGATTGAAAGGAACTGTGGCTGACCCCCAGGGTGCTCCCGAGGGCTCGTGCCGTGGCCTCTGATTGGAGACGCCTTCTGCAGGAGAAGTCCAAAGGCTCAAGACCCCCTTCCTCACAAGGGCAGGTGGGTTCTGGGCAGATGAGGCAGGAGTCTCTGATCTGACTGGACTGAAGTTCTGCGACCTGCCGCCTCCTGTGGCAGCCAAGCCTGGGGATGTTTGAAGAAGGGATGATGCTTATGATGAGGGAAGTGGCCTGGGTGATGGGACAGATGTCGGGGGAAAGGGAAAGGGGTCAGGAGCTGTTCACATTAGAGCCCAGCCCCAGACCAAGGGACCAGGAGCTCAGTCTCAGAAGGCACAGGGCGGGTCTCTGTGTGGGTGGCAGAAGTTTGGACCTAGAAGACATCTCTCCCATCCCCCTTGGCCACTCCCTGGCAGCCTCCCCTTCCCCCAACCTGGGCTTGGAAAGTGTCTGTTGCTCATTTGTTCTCAGGGCCCTTGCCTCCCCTTTTAGTGGAAGGACACACATTGGTGCCACATGAAAGGCTGGAATGTAACCTCTGTGGATGTGACCCCAGGTGGCTCAGTAATTCCAGCATTCCTGCCCTTCAGCTGCTTCCTGATGCTGCCCAGGAACCTGCATGTCAGCTGAGTGATCACATGGTCAAAACCTGATTTTACAAGGGAAGGAAAGGAGACTCAGAGAAGGCACATGGCTTGACCAAAGTCAAATGACAACTTAAAGGGCAAAATGAAAGGATAAGAGTTCGTACCTCCCCTCTATAGGTTTTATTACTGCCCAGTACTGCCTTCTGTCTCCAGAGGACCAGGCAAAGCTAAAAACCTCTTGAAGAACTCTAGAGACAGGCAACCTGTCTTCAAATCCTGGTTCTACTACTTCTAGCAACCTGTGTGCCTCAGTTTCCTTTTAAATTGAGTAACGTTAATCTCTGCTCAAAGAGCTGTGAGGATTAAATGAATGAATAACTGGGAGAACGTTTAGAATGGCCCCTGGCACCCGGCAAGCATGTACATTTCTGACTTGCGCTTTTATCACCTCTTGTCCCTGTGTGTGTTCATCTGAGGGGCCCGAGTGTGGTCCAGTCCCCCGTGTTCTCCTGTCCTCTTCCCCCTGCTCAGCTGGAAAGCCCCCTCCCTCCCCTCCTCTGACATGCCTCACTACTGGGATAATCTCCTGGCTGCAGGATTGGCATTGACGCGCTGTCACACAGAATCAGCCTCCGAGCAGCTACAGCCCTGACAGCACAGGGAGGGGAAGAAGGGAAAGGAGAAGGTGAAGGGGAATAGCCCAGCTTCTGAGCTGGGCTCAGAGCAGCCTGCCTGAGATGAGGACAGGGGGATCGCTGAGCAGAGGCGTTGCTGCACAGTGGCCAGCCCTCCCCTCCACGGCCCAGGGCTGCCCGTGGCCCTGTGACCACGTCCACAGTGCCCCTGCACAGAGGTATGGGAGAGGGAGATGGGAGCCCAGCCCCAAGGCTCTTCCGGTGCGCATGGGAATCACCCGGGAGCCTGCTCTGTTTTACTTTCTCTGGATCCTGGTTTCACAGCCCTGGGGTGGACCCAGGCACTTGCATTTTTAATAAGCTCCCCAGGTGCTTCTGATGCCTGCCAGAATTTGCGGGCCGCTGGACCACAAGGACTTAGGCGCATTCTTCCCCTCACCCTCAGAGGTGGGAGGGATCGAGGGGCTCAGCCCAGCGCCATGAGAGTGCTCTGTGGTGATTCCCACACTCACTCGTGGGTGACCCACTTGCCCCAAAGCCCCTCTCCTGGTGTCCTTTCTGGCTTGGCTTCCTCATTCCCTCCTCCCCTGCTGACCACACAGGTCTGGGCCCACTATGAGGAGCAGCCCGTGGAGGATATGACGCCCATGCTGGAGGAGAAGGAGCGCTCAGCCACCTATAAGCCAGTGTTTGTGACTGAGATCACCGATGACCTGCACTTCTACGTGCAGGATGTGGAGACAGGTGAGTGCTCGTGCCCCGCCCAGGGATTCCAGGGGTCTCTCCTGCTGCCCACCCACCAGACCCGAGACAGCACTCTGGGCCCACAGGTCATGTCATGACCTGCAAGTAAGCCCTGGAGTGCGCAGGCTGAGGAGGTCCTCTGAGGACCAGTGAGGTAACCAGTCCTGTCTGGGTGCTGCTCTGAGACTCCTAGGTAATTGTTTTGCTCCCAGACACTCCTGGCTGAGCTGGGTATGTGTATTTGTAGCCTTTAGGGTCTATCAGGAAGCAACGAACAGATTGTCTTTTTGTGGTCAGGAAGCAAGAACTGGCATCACGCAGCCCCTCTCCCCCTCGGCTTCCTCGGGAAGGCGGGTGGAGAGGGGAGCGTGGGCTTGTCTCTGCTGGGTTTCTCCTTCTCTAGAGGTTACCATAGCCCGAACGGTAGCCATTTGCCATGGAAACTGGAAGCACTCCGGGGGGAGCCAGCCCCAGGCAGCCTTTCTAAAGGTCCCTCTCTCTCCATCTTCCTTTTCTTCCTGACCTCAAGTGTTGTGCCTTTTGGCCAGGGTCCCCTAGGCAGACACCTCAGATTCCTGGAGAGACAGGGCAATAGGAACAGCTCTCTCAGCAGCTGCACCATGGCCCCTCCGGCCCAACTTCCCACCTCCACTCTGTGTAACCTGGCCTCCCTCTTCTCATGGCCGCCCTGTTCAGGGAAACATTTTAGTTGAGCACAGAGGAAACAGCTCTTAGAGTTGCTTCTAGGGCCAAGGAGCCAGATCCTTGCAAAGCAGAGGGGACCGAGGTGTCACTGGCACTCAGGGCAACCCCGTGAGTGGCAGACGCAGCTCTGCCGGGCCTCCTCAGCCCACCCCAGTCCCACTCCAGGTCACCAACAGCCAGCCCCGTCTCAACCACTTCCTCTCTAATGGTATTTCCCAGGCAGCTGCTTTTGTGGTAATGTCATTTCACCAAGAAAAACTGACCATTTCCAGTCCTGAGCTGGCTATACTTGGGAGGGGAATCAGGGTAGGGACAAAGATGGAGCTGACGAACCTTCAGGATCAAGTTCTCTTGAGTTCAGCTGGTGAAAGCTGGGCCAGCCACTGCCTTGGGAATGAAGCCAGGAGAGGCCCAGCCTCCAGGTCTGGGTGGTGTGAACGGAAGGAGCCTTGCGGTGGTGGTCCAGGTAGGGGCAGGAGCTCTTTTTAAGCTTAGGAGCCAAGAAAAATGAATGGCCCTCAGGGAACTTGGAAACCTCGCCCAGGACACAACAGCTCTACCTGGCTTCTGGGTCCTGCTGGGGAGGACTCCCTTTGAATAAGAACAGGACTCTGAAGCCTGCACAGGGTTGAGGGTTCAAGGCCTTTGACCACACAATCACTGTAATCTCAGAGGCTTCCGTGCCTCCCTGTAGCCCGCCTGGCTGTCTCTGTCGGCTCCAGGAAGCCATGACGCTGCAGTGAGCAGTAGCCAAGGCAGAGAATAAAAAGAACTAAAGAAGAAATCATGTATTCTTAGAATATTGGAGAAGGGAGTGAGGCGCTTCGTGGCACGCCACCTAGAGAGTTGCGGTGGGCTCCAGAGAAAACCCTGTCCTCTGGCGGCTCCGTGAAATCCAGGAAAACTAACCGCAGCACGCACCGCCTCCCTCTTCTGCAGCCTCTCATGCTCTCTTGGGGACATCCTCTCACCCTGTCTCCCTTCTCCTAATTAAAGCCTGCCTTTGGGAAGGAGCTGATGAAATGATGAAAATGTTGCCATTAGCTGTAAATTATTATACCAGCCAGGTATCTGTGTAAGGACCTCCCAGAGGGCTTTGCCTGTTCGCAGGAGGCAAAGCCTGCTTCTGCTGCCTTGGAGCAAAAAAATAAAAATAAAAGTAGACCAAGTACAGAAGAACTTGTCTAATGTAGAGGCTTCTCCTTAGTCCCTGATATTTTACTGTCTGGGCAAGGAACACTATCTCAGGAAAATTAATAGAGTGTGTACCACTGGGTGGGGAGAAGGGCAGCTGCGTCCTAAAAGCCCCTGTTCTGGAACCGGTTCTGGGCAGTGGCCTGGGCAGAGGCCCAGGAGCAGACCAGCCTCGTGGTGTGTATATGCAGAGGTCATCTTCAAAGCAGTTGAGTGTCAGGGCTGCTTCTAGGCCTTGCGAGAGAACAACCAGTGAGCTATGGTCTGTGCCCTGAAGGAGCTCACCGTGTAGTGGCAGAAACATAAACCCAGACAAGAATCTTATAAGGCCGGCTGACAAGTGCACCAGCAGCTGACATGTGTTAGGCACCTGTTACAGTGTGTGTGGCCTTGGGCCCTGAAGGTGGAAAGAGGAATCCACGTGCACTGGGTCACCCTGACCTCAGAGAGCCATGGGAGCACAACCGGTCTGATGCAGAGCTAGAAGCAGGGGCAGAGGGGGTGTAAAGGAGTAGCCAGTGGGGACTGATGCTTGCTCAGCAGGGTCGGGGTGAGGGGTGCAGCAGGAAGGACCCCGTGGGGGAACCTGAGAAGACCTCAGGTGTTGCTAACCCTGACCAAAAATGGGGGGGAGGGGGTGCGACAAGCAGCATGGCCCCAAATTCAGGAAAGGCAAGGCGGGGAGGAGACCACCCCCGCCCCGCTTGAGGAGGGCACTGACAGCACTGGGAATTTAGGTCAGCAGGTACCTCGCTGAGTGACTGGTCAGACTGACCAAGTTTGAATATACTGAGACTGGATCCATCTCTCAGAATTGCTCTCCATCTTTCATGGTTCAGGTTCTGGGGCCCTTTCTTTATCCAGGGTTGTATGGGGCCCACCCTTCAGCCCCTGAGAGACCTTGCAGAGAGTGGCCATGGTCAGTCACCACTTTTGTGGCCCAAGCCAGGGCCAGCTCTTGTAGGAATGGGCTGCAGGCAGGCCTCGCTCCACGTCCATTGGCACTCTCTACCTCCTTAACCAAAGAAAGCCCAGGAATGTTCCCAAGGGCTCCCACAGCCATGGCCATTAGATTGGAGAGCTGGGATTGGAAGACTGTACGTGCCTCTTAAGACCTAACGTGTCAACAAGTCGCCATCCTGTTTTAAAAGTAGGCAGCATGAAACCTCTTGAGCAGAGACCGAAGAGGACCTCCCTGAGGGTTGGAGGCGAGCCAGTGCTGCAGGTTCTCTACAGAACTCCTCTCCCTGGGCTCATCTGCCTCCCCAGCCCATCCCGAGATGAGGATCCAAGGAGCCTGACACCCTAGTCTCACTCTCTTTTCCTCCCCATCAGGCACCCAGCTGGAGAAGCTGATGGAGAACATGCGAAATGACATCGCCAGTCAACCTCCTGTCGAGGGCTCCTACGTTCCCCGCCGGGGAGAGTTCTGCATTGCCAAGTTTGTAGATGGAGAATGGTAAGCCACTCGGGCCCTAGCAGAGAAGCAAGAGGCATGGCAGGTCTGTCTTCAGGGCACTAGCTAGACTTTAGGCGTTTGCCTCTGCAGCTTGGTTTCCACTGGGGTGTTGTTGACTTTGGCCAGCTCTCCAGGGTGGCCTCTTCATTGCCCAGATCCCTTCTGGGCCTGCACTGTAGCCAGTGGTTTTCATGCAATCCGGCCAGCCTCTGGAGTGCAGAAGTTGTGTTCCTCCTCCTCTCTTTCCCTTAACTCTGTTGGGGGAGCCCTGGCTGGCTAGGCTGTCCAACACACCCCTCATCCCACACAGGAAAAATGATGTCTTAGTGAACCCAGAGCAGCCACCCAGACCTCCACCCCGATGTCTGGGACAAGGGCAGCAGCCCTCTCAGGCTGCAAGGTCATTTATGTCTGATCTTCCAAGGGTAGGGTGCATGGCCTTCCCAGGGTGACGAAGTGACTTGGATGTGTTCCCTGCTGCGGCCTCCCAGACGGATTTGCTGGCTAATTACAGCTGCTGTTTAGTGCACTGGGTTTAAACAGCAGACATCAATCTAGTCATTAGTCTTGTTGCTTTATGCCCCCAAGGACACATTAATCTGCTTCATATGCTCCCCTCTCCCTCCCTCTGCTCCCAGCTATGCCCTGATTCCATTAAATGGTGACCAGAGTGTCCCAAGGCTGGCCTTGATGGAGTCTGAGAACTGTCCTCTGTGACACTCACGGGTGTGCTCTCTGAGCCCTGGGCCAGGAAGTGATATGCCCTCTCCCCTGCCATCGCTGAGGCTCCGTAGAGACCACACTCCTCAGAGCTGTCCTTTGAGCTCTGCCCATGATGCCATTGCAGGTACCGGGCCCGAGTAGAGAAGGTCGAGTCTCCTGCCAAAGTACACGTCTTCTACATTGACTACGGCAACGTGAGTTGGGGACCGGGAGCTGGACTGGTAGACAAGAGAGGGGCCCCAAGTGACTACACAGTTCCTCCCTACATCAGGGCCATCTGATCTCTTGAAGGTCCCTCCAAGCTTTGGACTCCATTACTCACAGAACAGTGAGCATTGTTACTGTTTGTGTAACAGGTCGTGATCCTTGAGTGACCAGGCAAAACTGGCATCTCTGGTTAGAGGCCTGTGTGCACCAACAGGTCTCCTGTCCAGGCTCCAGGGATGGGTGCACAGCTGTACCCCCACTTCCTCTTCCGCCCTGCCTCTGAAGAGTAGGCCCAGGAAGGCCCTCCACATCCTACAGTCCATGCCCATTATGCTCAGCATGGTGCTTGTCCCATCTGCTGATCTCCAACACATCCCAAAACCGAGGCTTGCTGCTAAGGGACAGTCACGAGGTGGCAGAATAACTGGGAGAAGAGCCCTTGCCTCAGGGCCTGGGAGTCCGTTGACCATTCCTGGGAGGTCCCCTGTGGGTGTGGCAGCAAGCAGGAAAGAATGCTGTAGTTCAGGACCATGGGGTGCCTGGGCTGTGGCTGTGGCTGTCCCCTTTCCTCAGGGACTAGAGTTGAGGGTCCATTAGCGGGAAGCCCAGAACTGGGCCATACTCCCAATTTACTACCTGGGAATCACCAAGGAAGAGGTCCCCCCAGGCTGGGGTTGCCCCACACACCTCGGCCAGAACCACAGACAGATCAGGGCGCTGCTGGGACTCTCCTCTTGGCGTGTTCTCCCAGCCGAAGCACTCACTGGCCTGTGGAAAAGTGGTCAGGGAGCCCACTGAGGGAAAGCACTGGCAAGAAATGGAAACAGCAGTTGGAGTCCAGTTGTCAAATTATTTTAGTGGGAACCAACAAGTACGCCAGGGTTGACAGGGTGCGAGTCACAGCTGTGCATCTGCAGGTGCCGGCAGGCCGTGCTCTCCCCAGGCTTCGCTGAGTGGGCAGGCCTGTGCACATGGCTCAGTGGAACCGAGGCCCGGGTGAGCAGGCAGTCCCTGAGTTAGAACTCCCAGAGGCCTGGCCACAGGGAATCATTCTCTGACAAGGAGACATCAAGTGTGTGATACTGTTGGCCTGATGTGTCCTCTGCAGAGAGAGATCCTGCCGTCCACCCGCCTGGGTACCCTGCCGCCTGCCTTCAGCACCCGTGTGCTGCCAGCTCAAGCCACAGAGTATGCCTTCGCCTTCATCCAGGTGCCCCAAGATGTGAGTTGATGCATCTTCCGTCCTTCCGAAGGACATTGTCCAGTGACACTCAGCCGCTCCTGCAGCCCTTACAGGTTGACAGGAGGTGGAAACAATGGGTGATCTCTTAATGGAAGTAATGGGACTCAAAAGATGGGAGTGACCGAGGAGGTTGAGGGAAGGTGCTACAAAGGTGGCAGCAGAGCACTTGAGCTAGTTCTTGAGGAGTGGGTCGGCCCCGTGGGCCAGGGTGCAATTGGGACAGAGACGAGTCTACCACAGTCAGGTTCCTGGAGCCTTGCCCGCAGTGTCAGCATCTGGGGATCAAGCCCTTGTGTGCCCTGGCATGGAGTGTATTCTCTGTATTACAGACAGGAGGGGTGTGGCGGGATTCTCAGCAGAAACATGGCTTGGTCTTGAAAGTTACTTCTAGTGCAAGGGGGCAGCTCGAAAGAATGGTTGGGAGGCGACTGCAACTGAAAATGCAGACTTGAGACAATGGTGGCCAAACCAGCGCCACATGAGTGGAGCTGGGGAGAAAGGGCCCGGTCTCAGAGCGCCATAAGAGGGGGTAGGTACAGAGGGGCAGGATCTAAGAGGGGTTTTTCCATGTAGATATGTTGCCGCAGCTTTATAGTGTTCAGTTTGGAAAACAAGACAAGACTCAAAAACCACAGATTTGAGTAATTGAAACCATGGGACTGAACCAGCATGGAGTCTGGAACATGGAACAGGGAGGGGAGAGCTGGTCTGCATTGCCCAGCTCCCTGGGGAGGTCAAGCAGGCCGGCGGGGCAGGGTCGGGGGGGCGGGGAACAGACCTCAGCTTCAGCATCAAATCCCGGGGTTCAGCAAGGCGCTCTGACAACATGGTTGGGGCTGCTGCCAGGTACAGGGCACTGAGGAGCGAGTGGTAGGGGAGGAGTCCACAGCATCAAATATTTTCTGCCTTTTCACAGAATTACTGAAGGGCAGAATAGAAACACCAGGAAAAGGTGTTGACAGAATAGATCCAGGGGCAGTCAGTCTGCAGGGGTGGGGAAATGTGCGCATAGAGAGCGCCTGACCTGAGACATGAAGGCAGAGAAACGGTGACTGTGAGGTCACTGTGCTGGAGTGAGCAGGTGGGCAGGGGTGCAGGGTAGGGGAGAAGGCCGGGGTGACCTGCAGAGAGACTTGGAGGGGAGGGGAGGGGCAAAGGGAAAGAGGGACACTTCCTGTCCAGAGCCTGTTTCCTCCCTCATTAGGATCTGAGCAGGAAGTGAGCTGTAAGCGCATGCCAGGCTGGCTTTCTTGGATGTCTGTGACCAGGACCTGGGGCCCACATAGCTCTTCTTTCCTCAAGCTCACCTCTCCCACTAACCTGGATGTGTCCCTGCTCCAGGAGGATGCTCGGACGGACGCCGTGGACAGCGTGGTGCGGGATATCCAGAACACCCAGTGCCTGCTCAACGTGGAGCACCTGAGCGCCGGCTGCCCCCACGTCACCCTGCAGTTTGCAGATTCCAAAGGGGATGTGGGGCTGGGCTTGGTGAAGGAGGGATTGGTCATGGTGGAGGTGCGCAAGGAGAAGCAGTTCCAGAAAGTGGTACGTGATGCGGAGGTGGCACCCGCTGCAGGGGCAGCCTCCTGGTGTCTCCAGCTGTCGTCACAGAGGGGCCTGGGACTGCACCAAGAGCCAGTGAGGGAGCAGGGAACCCACCATCCTGCGGCTCCTGCTGGGGAAAGATAATGGATTTTGGTTTGTTGGGGTTTTTAAAAAAGCTAATTACAGCCCAAATTAATTGGCTGCAGGTTTGGCTGAAAATGCAGCTGCAAACTAGAGCAGAAAGTTTCCCTTTGCGTGTGCCCCCAAGTGACAGGCCAGAAAGCTTTTGCCCAGGGTGGGAGGTTCACAGAAAGGGCCAAAGCCTGCCTTGCTTTCTCGCCCATTCTCACTTCTCTCTAATGTACAATTTCCAAGTCCATAACCAGCCCCTAGCACACAGAGGCCCCCAGAGCCAGGTCGCAGTGCCAAGAGTTCCAAAGGGACTCTGCCGCAATACCCCTGCAGCATGTTTGAAAAGCCCCCGGCGTGGAGCTGGTCCTGAGTCCTGCCTCCACGGTTCCTGAAGAACCTTAGAGATTAACCTTTTGGAGCCTGAGTCTCCCTTTCCTGAGATGAAGAGAACTTGCTGCTTCACCGTGGGCTGTGGGGTGGCGGTGGGCGGTGGGGCATGCTGACACCTAGGGAACCAGCTTGCACTGTCACGTGTTGATATTCAGGATTGAGTTCTGAGACTAGCAGCCCCTTCCACTGAGATCCCACAGCCCACCAGCATTGAGGATGGGCTGGTGGCAAGCCCGTGCCCTCCTCAAGGCAGTAGGTGGTTAGAGGGCAGCGGCATCGCCCAGCTTGTCCCCACTCCCCGTCTTCACGTGCCCCTTGCCTTCCCATCTCGCAGCCCCTCTTTGCCTTTCCTCTCTCCCCACGTAATGCGACAGCGGTTTGCGGATCCATGGACTGCTTATGCAAGTTGAAAATTCATTTGGAAAAAGACCCCCATGGGAACTGCTCCTGTGCCTCCTCTGCACAGGGGAGGCCTGATTCTAGTCCTCCCCCAGAGACCGTCAGTGTCCTGAGATCGCTCCACAGGGTTAGCTTAAGTGGCCCTGCAGAACTAGAGATCTTAGTGTCCCCTGTACAAAGCTACCCATAATGTCTCTGGCGCCTAGAAAATTCCTTTGCCCAGTCCCTGAGATAAACAGCTAATGTGTTCATTGATTCATCTATTCATTCCTTCAGCAAACGTTTATTAAGGGTCTACATACCCCAGTGAACAAAAGACAGTATTCCTGCCCTGTGGAGCTTACATTCTAGCATGAAGAGACAGACAATAAAAGTAAACATAAGTCAGTGAAACGAAATGTTAGAAAATACATGCAATGGAAAAGGAGAAAATAGGAGTAAAGGGCAAATACCATATGAACTCATTTATATGTGGAATCTCATGAAAAAAACTGATGAACAAAATTGAAACAGACATGGATACACGGAACAGCCTAACAGCTGTCAGAGGAGAGGGGAGTTGGGAGGGTAGATAAAAGAAGGTGAAGGGATTAAGCCAAAACAAAACATGTATATGACACATAGGCACAGACTACATTGTGGTGATAGAAGGAAGGGGGGTGGGCGGATAAATGGTGTCTTTGCTTTGGGCGAGGGGTGTGTGCTGCCCTGTGTAGATGATGTTTTGTTGAGTTGTACACCTGAAACCTGTATGGTTTTGTGAATCAGTGTCACCTCAATAAATTCAATAAATAAATAGCCATTCCTTTAAGGAGATAAGTAAATAAAATAATAGGTGTTCATTAAAAAGAAGTAAAGGGAATCAGGAGTGTGGGGGAGGGGCTAGCTATAATTTTAAATGGAATCATTGGAGGCCAGCGGCGGTTTTTTTTGTTTGTTTGTTTGTTTGTTTTAATCCTCACCCAAGGACATGCATATTGACCTTAGAGAGAGGGGAAGGGAGGGAGATAGAGAAACATGAGTCAGGTCCCGACCCTGACTGGGAACCCAGCCTGCAACCCAGGCATGTCCTTTGACCAGGAACTGAACCCGCAGCCTTTTGGTTTACAGGAGTGTGCTCCAACCAACTGAGCCACACTGGTCAGGGCAAGAAGGCAATCTTTTTATCAAAGATTTGAAGGTGGGGGTTAGTAGCCAGATGTACCAGAAGGGGAGGAGCACTTCAGGCAGATGGAACAGCCAGTGAGGATTCAAGAAACAGCTAGGAGACCGACTGACCATGCACTTTGGCTTTTTCTCTGAGGGAGCTAAGGATCCATTGAAGGGGGGGGCGGGGGGGCGGCGACATGGGCCTGACCTGGGCATCCTGCAGGGTCCCTTCGGCTGCGCAGTCGTGACCATTTCCTTTCTCTCTCATCCCTCCAGATCACAGAATACCTGAATGCCCAGGAGTCGGCCAAGAGCGCCAGGGTGAGTTTTTGCCTCTGGAGCCCCAGAGGATGCCGAGAGAGGGGGCTTGGCCGTCCAGGTTCCAGCAGGTCCCCCGTCCCTGACAAGCCGTTTTCTCTTTCCTCACAGTTGAACCTGTGGCGCTACGGAGACTTCCGAGCTGATGACGCAGATGAGTTTGGCTACAGCCGCTAAGGAGGGAACGGGTCCGGCCCCCAGCACCCCTCACGCCAGTACCTCTTCCTCTGCGAGGAGGGTGTTTCAGCTCCAGACCCCAGATTGGGGGCGTAGATTGGGTCCAGCTTTGCTTCAGTGTTTGGAAATTTCTTAATAGGGCACCATCTGGGCTGGGGGTGGGGTGCAGGGAGCCTGCGGCTTTCAAGGACAGGCATTTGTTTCTGAGATGGGTGCTTCGGTCGGGCACACAGGGCACAGGATTTAAGGAGGCACTCAGAGGGTGCAGTCTCTCCCAGTTGATTTTCTGTTTGTATTTGGATGGGGATTTCTGGTTTTTTTAAAAATTATTCTCAAATCAGGAAGAAACATGAAAGACTTTGTCCTAAAGGAGGGTGTGATGCTGGCTCCCGCGGCCAGCTGGCACCCCACTTCTATCCCAGACTGCCCTTCTTCCCAGATCTCTCTCCAGCTGTTGATTGTGATTTCTCTGATGCATCCATTCTCAAATGCCACTGTGTTCACATCCACCCCTTCGCCAGCTCTCCCCTTTTCTGTATTTAAAGCTTTTGAGGCACAATAAAATAGTACATGCTGTCTGTAGCCCTTGTTGGTCATGGTGGAGCCCAGAAACTGGGATCTCAGCAGCCCCAGCCAGAGTGACTCCTGGGGTCTCCATCCACATGCTTGGCGAGACCTGCAGAAACAGCCGTGACTGTGTCCAGCTCCTCATGGGGCCCAAGAAGTCAGCAGGAGTGTAGATCATGAATCTCCATCTGTCCTCTTTCCTGGAGAAGCCGCTCTTCCCCACAGCAGGCAAGCCCACTGTCGCCATGGTCTCTCACTTTATTCTTACCCATCGTGGAAGCTGGTCATAGAGAAGAGAATGCCCATCAGTGGGAGCTGGGCAGCTTCTGAGCTCTGCACAGCTCTGAGAGTATGGTGGGCATCACCTTGACACCCTGGCCTCCACGCAGAAGACTGCTGATCTTCTCTTTTGACTCCTCATCATTCTGGACCCACTGCATGTGGCTGCTCTGAAGGACTGTAGAGACTGGAGCAGCTCGGCAAGCAGTGCCCAGACCACATGCACAGGAAAGGCCAGGCCAGGCCAGTACCGCCAGGTGCGGGTGGGAAGTTGCGAGCCCTGTCAGAGCCCCAGCAGCGGGCCAAAGGGCGTCGTTGAGGGGAATGAGGTGGTTTCCCTCTTCCTGGTAGCAGGAGGAACGCTGGCTCCAGGCAGGGTGGCGTGGCACAGTTGAGATCGAGGGCGCCGGCCCCTGCTCAGCTGGGGAGTGGAGCTGGAGGGCAGCGCTCCAAGAGGGGTCAGCACTGCTCGTTGAGGAGCGCTTGTCTCCAGATTATTTGCTCTTGCTCCGTTTGACTTCACACAGGGTCCCCCAGTCCTCAAGGTAGAACTTGCCATGGAGTTCAGAAACCCTAGGCTGCTGTTTGCCCTGAGGGAGGAGCGAGGTCCCAGGGCGGCCCCTGTGGTGTGTAGCGAGGAGCCCATTGTGCTGCTCAGGGAGGGCCAGGGAGAGAATGTAGGTGTGTTGATGGGAGGTCACCACTCTACCGTCCACTGTGTCCAGGAGATTGGCCTGTGTTCTGGTGGAACGGGCGCCTCTTCCTGGCAGCCCTACTTGCCACCCCGCATTTTGATCTGCGGTGAGGCTCCAGCTGCCACGGGGGATTGGTCCCTCGCCCTGGGGCAAGTCAGTGGAAGCTGTGGGGCCTGGCTAGCCGCCTCTCATTTTTAACCCAGAGGTCCTAAGCCTCTGAAATTCCTGCCTCCTGGTGGCTCTTCCCCCACATCGACTTGTTCAGTCCCAGGTTTCACCTGGATTTCTCCCCAATACTCCTGTTTGTAGGCCAAAAAAAAAAGTGTGCTTCCAGTACTTGGGGTGCACTCTGGTTAAAGGGAACAGTGAGAGGTGCGGGGGGCGGTCAGCACAGCTCCAGAGACCACTGCACTCCCCTCCTCCGAAGACTCAGTTTCTGTCTACAGCCCCTCTGGGTGGGTAGGACGCGTTCTTTAGCTCCTCGTACCAGCTCGTCACGGGGCACCAGAAGTCAGCAAGCAGGAGAGGGATGATGAATTGTGTGAATCTCCATCCATCCCTACTCCTAGAGAACGTGCCCTATCCCCCACCCTCCTCCCCAGCAGGCAAGCCCACTCTCACCGTGGTCTTGTTTTATTCCATCACGAGGAGGAGAATGCCTGTCTCACCCATTTCTCTACTTTCTGGTAGGGCCTCATGGCGTGTATTCACTTGAGCACAATTGGCAGGGGGGCAACATGCCAGCCCACTCTTTTGTGAAAGGTCTGGAGTCAATTCGTCTTAACTGTTGCCTTGGTTACATCTGTGCCAAAATAAACCCTCTGTGGTTCTCCAAATGAAATGATGCCTGAACCTTCCCACTTCTTACTTCCTTTCTCTTCCAAAGCTGATTTATACCAAGGTCAGTATATTCACCAGGTCAGAAGGCACTGCTGCCGCTTGTCTGGTTTTGGCTCCAGCTCTGTGTTCCTCTCTCTTCTATCACGGCCTGGCTGGAACTGGGGTGAGGCAAGCCATACACCCAAGGTGCAGAATTTAAGGAGGCACTCAGACTGCAGATGCACGGGCATATTTTCTTTGCATCCATAGTTGAAGCCGGTTAGCATGAGCACTTCCACAAGTAGCACCAAAACCCCTCCTGAGGTCCTTCCCCTGCAGGAGTTACCATGCTTCTCCGTGTCAGGATCATAGGCTCTGCTTCCCCATCCACCTTTTCAGGTGAACTAAGTCTCCTGAACACCTGTTATCCATCCATCTATCCATACACCAAACGGATTAAGATTCAGCAAACCACCAGTACAGTGCTGGGTTTGGTGAGTGCCAAGGTCAATCCAGGCTAGGTGTGGAGGAGGCAGCAGATGCCGAAATACTCATAATAAGCCACACAGTGGGCAGTGCACCCAGACAAGGGGCAGAGGCTCTGGCCTGGTGGCACAGGAGAAGAGCTGAGTTGGGGCTAACACATGGCAGGAGGGCAGCACTGGGACATTCCCCGTCTCTGAGGGCTGATGCACAGAGCCCAGGAGTTTAGACCAGGCACTGGGGAAGTACTGATTCCTGAGGCCCCTTCCCAGGGACCCTCGTCTCCATCCTCCGTGCCAGTGTTGCAGGCCTAGTGGGGAAGGCGGGTGTTGGAGGAAAAGGCTTCTGTAGCTGCCTCCACTTTATTTATTGGTTTGATTATTTTTATGTCCTGTGGAGAGAGTCAGTGGACCCCTTTTTTTGCATTAGCCCATGTTGGGAAGTAACAAGGAGGGGCTGGAGAACTGGGGCCTCCAGAGTGGTTATTGATGTCCTAATTACAAGAAGATGCTAATTTAATTTGAACCTAATTACAGTGCACTACCCTGGGTGGCATGTGTTTTAATAATTAACGTCCTTCAGATGCGTAGGAGTGTAATAATATTTACACTGGGTTGGCCAGAAGCCTGGGGAGGCTGGCTAGGGGCCTATACACCAGCCTCCCCCCGGACAGCCTGGCTGTTAGCAGGTGGAGAAGATGGCACTCAAGTCTTCATTGGCGAGTATCTTATCCTTCCCAGGGAACATGCTTGGGCCCCATTTTCACTAACTACTTCCTTGACCCAGCAGGCCACTCTGCCCTGTGGGATGCCAGACTGGCACCCTGAAGTACGTGGTGACCTGCAGGATAGGGGAATAGGCATCATCCCTCTTCCCCTACCCCACCACATGCCAGAGACCAGCGCCCAGTTTCTGGCTTTGCCTGCCTGCCTGGGCCCATCCTAAGGAAGGGCTTGTTTACAGGGAAGGGCCGGAGAGATGCTTGCTTTTTCTTCTCTTTTTATTGGAAACACTTGTAAGGAAGTATACATTCAGTAAAGTGTACACATGTTAAGGGTACAGCTCAGGTCTTCACAAAGTGAACACACCTGGGCAGACAGCACACATCAAAAAATGGAACATCACTAACCCTTCATAAGGTCCTTCCTCACCATCACCCCCAAAGGTAGCTTGCTCTTGATTTCTATCGCAGTAGATGAGTTGGCCTGTTGTGTTTTTGTGGTGGTTTGGTTTTTCAGTTTTGTCTGGTTTTAAATTTTATGTAGGTGGCGTCATGCAGTATGTATTAAGTGCCTGCCTTCTCTTCCATGTCTGTGAGATTCATCCTTGTTACATTAGTTTCAGTTTGTGCATTGTCATTTCTGTATGTTCTGTTGTCTGATACACAACCCCTTGGTGCTTATAAAGAAGTCAGATGCTCAGCAATCTGCTAGAGCCAAAGCTATGCCAGTCCCTAAAGGACAAATCTGCTCATCCTAACTATACAACTGGGGTGCAGGAGGTGACACTGTGAGAAGGGGTAGCAGGCTGACGGGGCAGGGCAGTTCCACCCACCACAAACCTGGAACAGTGTGGTTGCCAGCATGGCTCCCATGCCCAGCCTTTCAGAGCTCCCAGAAGTGGGAAAGGATCTGTCTGCAAGTTGAAGAAGCCAAGCAGAAGCAGCCAAGCAGGGGCTTAAAGAGATGATCTGAGGGAACTTCAGTGTCCCTATCAAGAAGCCTTACTTACTAAGCTAGTGCTTCCTTACGCGTGGCTGACAGACCAGCTACCCACCTCAGGATCACCTGGGCTTCTCATTAAAATACAGCTTGCAGAAACAGTGCCAGGACTATATTGGGAGTAGGGTGGGGTTAGTGAGCTGAACCCCCAGCTATCATAACAGGGAGGCAATGGGTAATGTTTGATGTTGATAAAACAAGAACTAATCTATTCTTTAGCAATAGGATGGCAACCACCTAAAGCCCGATGAAAAATGGTTCCCTGTGGCACGGCTGGGGGTGGAGAGTGCTTATTATAATTCCTTGTGTACTATTTAATATTTTCACCCTAGGCGAGCGTTTCTGATTATCTTTTTTTATTATCACGTAAATATGTGTCACTTCCCACGCCAGACCTACCACCTCAGTTTGTGTGGGCCAGCACCTGGGGACCTGCACTTTTAAGCTTCCTCAGGTATTCTGATGAGTTCTCAAGTTTGAGAATGAGCTATCATTGTCCAAACTCATTTTACAAGAAGAGGAAGGAGACACTGTGACTTGCCCAAGGTCACCCAGCTTAGTAATGGCAGAGCCAGAAATAGAAAACAGGTCCCCTGACCCCAGGCCTGTGAGTGTTGTTCCATCATGGCTTTCACCTCGGTGGGTGTCCACCACAGTGGGCCTGAGGGGCGAGCTGGGGGCCCTCGCCCAGTGTAGAAAGCGAACCCTCCTTATCACAGGGTGCTTGCAGTGCCTACACTCTGCGCAGCCATCGCGGGGACTGCGTGCAAAGTGCCACTGCTTGTGCTGCCCTGCCAGCAGCAGCTTTAAACCATTTGCTCCAAATAGGAGTGGGTCAACCCTGTGCCGTCCAGAGCCCCTTAACATTCAGGCATTCAGCACTCTGAGCTCCTTCCTGCTAGTTCCAGGCTCTATTCTAAGGGCTGAGAAGAAACAAAGAATGAGCCCTGGCCTCGGAGCTCAAAGTCCATTAAGAATGGCAGGCGGTGGTGAAAGGAGAACCTAGCTGACTTCACCAAAAAAGAAGTGTGGACAGATGCGGTGGCATTAGCTTGTCGAGTCGACATTGTGCAGGCCCCGTGATCCAGCCACTCACCCCTAATTCTGTCATCTAGGGCTGCTTGCACGTGTAAGAGCCCCCACCAGGGGTCACATGCAGGAGTGGCTGTTGCAGTTTTGTTGAAAAAACGGCACAGCAGACACCACAAGCGAATCCCCACATGTTAACCAGCAATGAAAATCAATGAATTGTGGCAACAGATGAACCTTAGAAACAGTAAAACACATCTCAGAGGCCTTCATATCATATGATACCACTGGTGTAAAGTTCAAAACCAAGTAACAAGCTTACAAGTACATGTATGTTAAATGATCATATAAATTCATGGGATTTTTTTTTTTTTTGAGAGTGCAGAGGGGCACTTAAATGCTTACATTTGGACTACAAACATAAACTGGCACTTTTTTGAGCAAACGGATACCCAGACACCTTTGATACATATCATAAAATATAAAGCCAAAACAAGGATGATACATAGAAAAGTCTGGATAGTGGTTACCTGCAAGTGGGGCAGGTGCCCCAGAGGTAGGATAAGAAAGGATGTCAGGGAAATGTAAGTTAATGGGAACATTTGAGATCTCAATCTGGGAGGTGGGCCCATAGATGTTTATTACATTATTAAACTAATAAGCTGGTGTAGGAGCACAAAAGAGAGAGAACTTAATTTTTCTTGGCAATTAGGTGGAGTTACAGTCAGAGAAACCTCATGAAACCCTTCACTCTGCCAGGGAAGGTTATGGAAGGTTTGAGGACAGGTGACATCATGTGCCAGATGCAGAGCAAGTCTGGCTGAGGGGGCTCACTGAGCTAAGCCCTCTCCTTGCTGGTGGGACTCCTGGGTCTGCATGCCTGGGTCCAGGTGCCCTGTGTGGCCATAGAACTAAAGACCAAAACTCAGGGTGCTGACCAGTGAAGTCCGACCTCCCCTTTGGGGAAAAGCCAGTGGGGCTGGGGAAGCTGACAAGACCTGCACGTGGCACTTGACTTCTGGGCTCCTGGATCACTTTTCAAATTGAGATGTAACTTAAAGTCAAGTGTACAGACCTTAAGAGTACAGTTTGTGGGAGTTTACAAATCTGAACATCATCCCTGAAATCACTCAGATCCAACTTAGAACATCCCAGAAGCATCCCAGAAGGCTTCCTGATGGCCCTCTCGCCAAAAGTAATGACAGTTCTTACCTCTTCCACCATGACTTTTGGTGGTGATTTGCACCAGTGTCTTTCAAAAGACATTTTCCCCAAAAACAGTCCCAGGGAAGTGAGGGGGCCCACAAAGTCTCTGGGGACCTTTGCCGGGACACCTAAACCTGGGGCTGGAATTGACACTGGGCCGGATGGGGGTGCCAGAGTCCACCACGGCTGCCTCAGGCTGCTGGACAAGCCCACAGGAGGCAAAGGTCCCTGTCCCTGCTGCCTGAGAGCTTTGGCTTCAGCCTCCCTAGCAGCTCAGATCTATCATCCCAGATCAATGGAGTCATTATTCTATGCCCCAGGCCCAGCCACTGTGCCACAGAGCAGGTGACCTCAATCCACACGGGTCATCTGGGGACCTGGGCCTAGGAGGCCAGCTCCACCTCTGGTCGGGCAGAGTTCAGGCGTCCCTCAGCCACCCAAGTGCTGGCTCAGACCAGGTGAGTGTGGCCCAGGGACAGAGCCCGTGGCATTAGCGTCTCATGTTCTCAGCTGTGTATGAAAGGCGAGCCCGAAGCAGCAATTAATCCAAATAGGACTCTGCTGTTCTTGTTCCCATGCACAG